ATTCCTCTCACATATTTAATCTTTAACTACTTTTAGATAAGCTTGTAAACCTAAAGTGCCTATCACCCTTCTGACAATATTCACAGTATTGATTCTACATGCGGTAAGATGTTGAATAACACTAAGAATATATATATAGTTTAAGTGCAACTTCTTGAAGTGTTTTTCCATGCCATATGCTAATGCTGTGACGTATGGGGAGTAATTATTTAATGTACAAAACACTACTGGTACAGAAAAACTAAATTTGAAATACGCCATTGTTTTCCCCATTGCTCTCATATAAATGATTGCAAGTTAGTTTTCACATAGAAGCCGGTGTTTCGAATTACGAGGAACAAAAATAAAACCATAAATGACTCGTCATACGTCACAACATTAGCATATGGCATGGAAAAACCTTCATTACTTCAAGAGGCCGCACTCAAACTCTGTAATTTTTTCGGGTTATTCAACATCTTACCCCATGTAAAATCAATACTGAGAATATTGTCAGAAGGGTGGTAGGCACTTAAATTGGCATTTGTAAATAAGTTGGTCTTTATACAATAACAACAAATTAAGCTCATTTTTATAATCATACTAGCTCGAAAAGCTCAATAAACAGTTGAATATTGATGTGATTTTATATGTCATTCAATATTTGAATAAATTATCTGTAGAAAGATATATAATTAATGAACGAAAGACAAAATGAAAGTATTTTTGCCATAGTAACAAAACAGGTACACTTTTTTTCGCTCGTTTGCCGGTAATTTTAGCAATGTTATTTAGCTTTAAACTTTGTCACACATCTCTTGGATTTTTTAAATTTGTAGAATTCGAAAAGTTCCCTCATTGATATGTACTTTTTCTACTAAACATAGTATTTTGTTTTCAAATGACAACTTTAAATTATGTAAGAACTACGACGTACTCTTTCTACGATAACAAAACAAGTACATTTGTTTTTCTCGTTCATCATGCTAGCTTGTTGCTCGTTTTCCGGTAATGTTGTAGCTATGCTATCTACACTAAATAAAACAAAATAGAAAATGTCCTAACCTCTATCTTCACCCTGTGTCGAATTCTCTTCTTCCGTGATTTCTTCCATGACTTTTTGTTTCGTTTTTGCAATTTTAAACATAAAAAGATAGTTAATTTAATAAAACTCGTCATGGTCCAAGTGACATGTGATTTGAAAGGTCGACCAATCAGAAATGCAATGTACACCTGGCGGGCGACACTTTAGAGTTACGCACAGGGTTCCCATGCGATGACCACGAAAACTGAGTTGGATAGTTTTATTCTATACCTATGGTGCCCCGCTCGACGGGAGCTCCTCTGTTATTGTAGACAGCAGTTCAATGATACCATATAATAGCAAACATATATCAATACCTTATAATTTTCTTCTTTTTTGACAAAGTATACTCCATCAAGGGTCCAACACATATCAAAGGTTCTATTGGAGAAGATGCCTTGTTTATGTGGAACACAACGGATCAAAAAG